AGATGTTGTCTTTCAGGAAGGAATCCGGGCTGTCATTAGGATCCTTCGTTCTGAGCGCCTGCCCCGGTCGGAGGGCAGCGGGTTGGGGCTGCAGCACGTGCTTCAGCGCAGGCGCGTCATCACAGAGGGGTCTGGGTGGGAAGGGAGCTGAAAGATTATCTTGTTCCAACCCCGCTGCCCCAGGCAGGGAGATCTTCCACCAGAGCAGGTTGCTCAAAGCCCCATCCAATCTGTTCTTGAACACATCCAGTGTTTGGCCATCTACAACCTCCCCTTGGTGACTCGTGCCGGTGTCTCACCGCTCTGAGTGAAGAACTTCTTCATTTCTGAGCTAAATCTTCCCAGCTTCTAGTTGAAAGTCATTACCACTCATCCTATCACAGCAAGCCCTCATAAAAAGTCCCTCCCCATCTTCCTTCAGATACTGAAAGGCCACCAGAAGGTGTCCCTGGAGCCTCTACAAGCTGAACAACCCCAGTTCTCTCAGCCTGGGCTCGTAGCAGAGGGGCTTCAGCCCTTGGATCATTTGTAGCCTTCTCTGGACCCAAAGCCATCCCTCCATCTCCTTCCTGCCTGTGAACGGGGGTCATGGGGACACCCCAAATGCCCATCCTGAGGGTCCCTGCTCAAGCTGGGACAGCTCGATGGGACATCCAGGGACTGGACCTCAGCGAGGACACAGCTCTGGGTATTGCAGGTGGAGAAATGTGGAGCCCTGAGGGTTGGTCACAGCAGCTGCAGAGGGGAGATGTGACCCCTGGGATCTGTGTTTCATATACAATCAGAATTGTGTTGGTTGGAAGAGACCTTTGAGCTCCTGGGGTCCACCTGTGTCCCCAGCAGTGCCAGGTCCCCACTGCGCTGTGTCCCTCACCCCACATCGCCACGGCTTGGGAACCCCTCCAGGGGTGGGGACTCCACCACTGCCCTGGGCAATCCTCAAGGGCAAGAAAATGGTCCCAAACGTTCAATGTGCCATCAGGGTGTTGGAGTGACTCCGCTGGGGCGCGTGTACACCCAAAGCAGAGAGTACCCCACGTCAAAGAGGAACTGTGGGCGTGGGTACGTGGCTCTCGCGTTAGTACGTGTCCCCTCGCTCAGTTCTTCCCTCCAGAGACTCCTCTCCTTCAGGAACGGGGGGCTGTGGGCTTTGGGGGGGCTCTGTGGTGAGCAGCTGCCTGGTGTCGGTTGACCCCACCCTGGGACTTGGCCGTGGACCCAGAGAGAAGATG